TGAAGAAAAACTTTAATATAAGTTTAACATGACAGCAAATGTACAACGTTTCGACAAGGTTTTGTCATCATCAATCTGTTCTTTAATATGAAAACACTAAAGCAATCAATATATCTAAGGACAAAAAATATTGTTAGACGTGTATAATTTAACTTTTGTGTGGTATTATTGTTTAGAACAGGACTGATTACAGTTCATGGATAAAAATACAGGCCTAAAAATTATGATTTTACAACTGCTAAATAAATGTTTTTTACTTTCCGTTAATAACTTTAAGGTTGAACAAAAGAGTTACGTGACATGTATGTGTTTGCTGTCTTTTTTAACTATTCTGAAGGTGTTCAGAGATATTTTTTTTAAATTTCAGGTGTATTACAGTACAAATGTTAACTCAGGACACGCAAGTCAACCAGTTGAAAAGGTAAAATTATTTGTGATATCCTTTTCTTTTTGATTTTTAATGTATTTTCATGTGGGGGGAGGTCTTTTAGGTTTTTATCAAAAATGGCAACAAAAGGTTTATAAAGTAATAGTTAAGGAAACAATATAAATATTTGATGTAGTAGGAAGTGATTTTTATTAAAAATGTTGATATGCATGTGATACGTTTTTATGGAAGCTGTAAGTAAGTTTCTTCATTTTAACAGACTTTCTGCGACTAAAACAGTCCAAGTGGATGACTTGAAATAAATATGCTTTTAACTCAGTCTTGGATTGATTCCTGGACTCGAGGATAAAGGTGGCAACTACAAAGCCAGGGCTAGGAGCCTTTTAGATCAAGGCTAGTGTCGAGGGCTCTTCATTTGTTTGCTTCATAAGTGAAATTTGAATATATAATAATTTTTGGCTCAGCAGCCGTGTCAAAAAAAAAATTGAATAATAAAATACTGGCAGCACTTTATTCTCCAGGTGGCCACGAATCCGGTGTGACCTATGCCTAGTGAACTATAATGTGGCATATATTTTCTGGTACAAATGAATGAGTTATGTTCATCAATTGTGTCCAGCGTCAGTCACCATTTTTCCTAAATACCACATGAGCATATTGTGGTACTGAAACTGACAAACGTTGTGAATGAAACCTGATATATTTCACCTTCATGTTGATAACTTTTCCTAAAAATTTCTATATTTTGATGGCTTACTAATTTTACTTTAAAAAAGATATTGTTTTCACAAAATTAAATTGTAAGAAGGTTAATTATTTGTAAATATCAAAGTCCTCAAACCAATGGCATCGGAGACTATACACCTCTCAGGGCAAGGTCAAGATTTGATAAAATGTCCTTGAGGCTGAGGACCAGTCTCGGACACCCAAGACTGCTTTATATGTTTCTATGAAAAAATCATTTTTAACATGATACAAGTTATAGTAATAATACCTACTTCAAAAACTTGCTTGTTAGAAAATATTTTTTCTTAAAATGGGTTTTTTATCTATATAAGTGTGGTTCCATATTGTTATAAGTGTGGTTCCATATTTTTCTAGGTCCAACATTTTCATGAAAAAATATCGTAAGTTAAAACCATATTGCAAAGTCACTTTGTGTATTGAAGTTAGCAAGGCTTTAATACTTTCAGTAAATATGTGTTTAGCTCTGTAAATTGATCAACTCAACAATCTGTGTGTTTAGCTCTGTAATTTGTCAACTCAACAATCTGTGTGGTTAGCTCTGTAATTTGTCAACTCAACAATCTGTGTGGTTAGCTCTGTAATTTGTCAACTCAACAATCTGTGTGGTTAGCTCTGTAATTTGTCAACTCAACAATCTGTGTGGTTAGCTCTGTAATTTGTCAACTCAACAATCTGTGTGTTTAGCTCTGTAATTTGTCAACTCAACAATCTGTTATGTGTGTTTAGCTCTGTAAATTGACCAACTCAACAATCTTTTGTGTGTTTAACTCTGTAAATCAATCAACTCAACAATCTGTTGTGTGTGTTTAGGTCTGTAAATTGATCAACTCAACAATCTGTGTGTTTAGCTCTGTAATTTGTCAACTCAACAATCAGTGTGTTTAGCTCT